TATGAAGCAATCACGAAGAAAACAACCAGTTGAAGGCGCCATGTTGATTTTCAACTAAAACTTCAGATTTCAAGAATTGTGTTTAAAAGAGGATTTCATGACAACAAGAATTTGATTCCAATAAGGAAGAAACCTCTACTAAAGTGCATAAAGACACATCACATTGATCTAGGTAAGTATTTTACAATTTTTCTTTTCTGCACGTCTAATTCTCTTTCTCTTGAATTTTTAGATTCGTGGACGAATCCTTTTGAGGAGTTGAGGAATGATACACGTAATAGAGTCCATAAAAATTGAAACACCAACTTCTTTAGAGTAATGTTTATACTTAACCTATTAGAAGACATAAGTATTGAAGATTTAAAGCATATCTACTTGGTAAGTATAATATGAGTGAATTCTTAAAAGGCTCTAATGTTTCTCTCTTTGATGCTTCAAATTTGAGGTCGAATCTTTCTAAAGAGAGGGTGGATGATACATGCATCACAAGGCTCGCATAAGAGGAAGATGGATTAACGCTTCCAATGTACTCACACGATCAAGCCTAGGAAAAGAAGAATAACATATCAGCATAATTGTGACTTCTTTTTTTAATGGGTCCTAATGTTATTTGGTCAACATGTCTTTTATAGATCTGACCAGCTGCCTCTTATCTGTCCAATGGTTCTTGAATCACATCAGTTTGATATCGGTAACTCAATATATGACCATTTTAGTGAAGATAACGCGTGCAGAAATCCCTATATAGGATTTTACGGGATTTTATAATTAATTACAATTTTCCTTATTTTCATCTTAGGAATGGTTTAAGTTAAGGTTATAAGGGTAATTTTATTATAATGATAAAAACCTAGTATCCCCAATATTATTCTCCAAGCCTCCACCTTCTAGAAGCTCAATCTGGTTCATCATATCCAACGGCCGAGGATCAAGTCCGCATTCAAATTCCTAGTTTCCATCTCCACAATCGGATCAAGCACTACCTTCAAGGGCCCATATTGATTCTTCCCACATCACATGGATTAGGATAGTATTTTATTGTTATTTTATTCATCATTCATGTTCCCACAAGGACTCCTCAAACATTATATAAGGAGGCCCTCCCCCTCCTTGTAAATCTTCAACGTTTCTTCAATTTTATACAATACAATAAGAGATCATTTTTTATAAGAGTTGATTTCCTTGTGCCTTCGAAGTATTTTCTTCTTTAGTTCATTTGAGTTCTTGAAAGAGATCTTCACGTTATGGTTTTCCTTTTCATTACGATTAGGAGGGCAGGTTAGAGCCGTATTTCGAGTTTGCCTTTTCATTGCGACTAGGAAGCTCGATAGGACATATCCAACTATATCATCATCACACTAACTCCATTATCAACATCATCCATCATTCACGCCACCTTCCACATCAAATCTAGGGTTTCCATTAATACACAAACCTATCGGGGTAAATTTTCAATTGTGTTTTTCTCACAATTCGACCATCCAATTTCAAATACGTCTTCACTGCCTTTTTCATCTTTTCACCCTCTTCCAAAGGAACCATCATCCATCAAGATCAGATTATAAACACCTTGGGCACCTATTACAAGGGAGATAAGAACATCTTTCTTTTATTACATACTTTATTTGTGTCTTTAATTCTTTATAGTTTTTATTACCCTTATTTTTTTTGTCTTAATCTCACCTCTTTGTTTATTTTCCAGCAACTAAAAGCCTCCCAAAACCCTAATCTTTATCGCCACCTTCAAGTAACCATTCAAAGACATTCGCTTCTTCATCAAGTCTAGAACTTTCTTAAGTTTGTTCCTTCGATGAGAGCAACATTCACACCGCCCGTTGCCACTTTTCTATCAACTCCGTAGCTATAAAGTGAGGAATTTTTATTTTTATTTTTATTTTAAACTTATTTAGTTGGTTTTTGGACTAAGGTGTGAAATAGGGAATGAATCCACATCAAATTCTTTATCATTTGGTATACATAGGTCATGTTTTTCTTACTTGGATAATTGGTTTGGTGATTAGGGTGGATGAAGAACAAGTTGAAATTCAATGATTTAATATTGGAAATTGATGTTACTGTTGTAGATTTGTTTCCAAGTTTAAATGATGATTAAAACAACTTAGAATTGCTTATATAACATTCGACCACTAAGGGTTTCTCTCAAAAATTGGTTGTTTGAGTTTAAGTTGATATGGAATTGAGTTGAATTGCATGGAAGTGATGAAAGGAAGTTGAACTCATGCTTGAATTAAAGTGAAAACCATGCTAGAATTGCTTAAATAGGTTCAACCAAGGAAGAAAAATAAGGGAAAATTATACAAAAACTTCCCTAAGCCTAGAAATGGTATTAGAATGATTTTACATGCTTTGAAATATGATTTGGATAAATTTAGAAAGTTTTTGAAAGTATAGGGACCTATTCACATAATTTGATAAATGTGGGAATTAAAGTATAATTATTCAATAATTGATGTACTATGTTGGAATTGAATGTTGAAATGTTAATTTGATATTGCAGGGTTGATTTGAATTGTTTTTGAAGTTATTAAAGTTTGGGGACCAAAACGTGAAATGCATGAAAGTTAGGCTTAAAATGGAAATTGATATAATATTGATACACTAGTTTGAATACATTGTTGGAATGCTTGATTATGTAAGTGATGCTTGAAAATTGAAGATTATTGGGAAATGACCATTTTGAATAAATTGGAAAAGTTGAGATACACTCTAAAAGAATTCATAATTAGTGGTTGAGATATGAAATTTGATAATATTATGTGAACTATTGATGGATGGGACTTGATGTGTTATTTTGGAGGTGTTAAGATCAACATTGATGTTGTGAATTAGAATTAGTATTGAATTTACATCGATATACTTTTTAGGAATTTTATTCCTAATATATGTTTATTTTTTATTGATGCTAACATATACATTGAATTGTATCTGTTGGTAAATTATGTTTGTATAGACTTTGATCTAGACTATGATACAAGGAAGCTTCAAGCAAATTAAAAAGTTAAAGAGTAAAGCGTATCGTTAGTGAAGGTTAGCTAGTGAGGCATATCAAGTGAGTGCATTCCTACTTATTTTATATAAATACAATAGGAGGAAGAATTGCGATAAGTCAACCTCGAATGAATTTAAAAGAAAATAATTTAATTCATAATTTTTATTTATTTTATACGGTTTTACAAAATAGTATTCAGATGATTTTTAGTATGAATTGCCCAATACATTTTTATATGGCATTTTACTAAATGATTTTTGAATGATTTTGGGATATGATTTCCCAAATGCATTTTTATACGATATTTTTAAATGCTTATGGATGATTTCAGGTATGAATTGCCCACCGCACCTCTATATGATATTTGGATATGTTGGTATCTATAAATACTTCTGATAAGTGAATAATATACAATTTTAAAACCAAAAGCATATTGTATGTGCATTGAGTGTCGCAGGTATAATTGGTATGCCATGAGGTGGAGTGATTATATGGTACATATTTGTACATTCATTGGTACATAGCACAACATAGTACATGGTGCAAAACGTACGTACATGATACATTATATTGCAAAACACAATACATTGTGCTTATACAATATAGTACACTGTGCAATGTATTCCTTATTATTGATATATTGATGAAGTGTTTGCAGTACATGTATATCTAATATGAGGTACTTTCGAGTGCAATTTATATATGAGGCATTTTCGAGTGCATATTACACACACTCAACGAGACTCACGTATCTTTCATTCTCATTTAATATACATTGAGTTATACTTATTTGAAATTGAAAGGTACAAATATGGTTTGAATATGTGAAGAGTACAAGTTATATGATTTGAATAAAAGCATATATTTCAATAAGTATTCTAAATTAAAATAATTTGCTTTACAATAAAACTGTGTTTTACAATAAATGAAAAGATTTTAGTAAGTCTATTTTTTATGGTTTCATATTTTATATGAAATTATTATATTAAGTTTTACATAAGATTTTATGTTCATTGATATTTTATTTTGTTATTATTAATGTCTCACTAAGTGTATACTTAGCGTGTGATTATTTCATGCGTAGGTAAAAGAAAATAATTATATTCATTGATATTCTATTTTATTATTATTAATGTCTCGTATACTTATCGTGTGATTATTTCACCCGTAGGTAAAATAAAGCAAGTGGAGTAAGGAGTTGAACTTGGCATAAAAAATATTGAAGATTTATTGCAGGTAACAATAATGACATCCTACTCTTGTTATGAATTATAGTTGGCATGTATATGTGTAATAAATGTCATAAATATTTTAATAAAATTATATTTGAAATGAATTAGAAACACTCTTATATGCGTATAATTTTTAAATGGTTCGTAACAATATTTATGTGTGGATTTTTAGCAAGTATAAAAATGATTATAAATATGGGTTTTAGTTAAATATTTGATAAAGTTATATTTCATTAATGTAAAGAGTTTTAATTCCAGCAGATTTTAGGCAATTTCATTCTTTATATGAAACAATATTGAATTGTCTAGTTTCTGTCTGAAATCGGATTTAAATTAGATGTTTAACATATTATCTTTTATTTTGTGCGACTGAGAAATTTTGCTAGAAAGGGTTTTAATGGAATAAGATTTAAGAAAAAAATCACCTATTTTATAAATGTTATGTGTTATGTGACATCTCCGACTCGTATTTAAGTACGAGTACGGGGAAGGGGCGTTACACTGCTAAACTTGAACAGCTTTTTATTCAAGTAATTAGATAGCATAACTAGTGATTAAGCAAACTTTTACTGTTCTCTGCATACTATTTACAACTGCAAAACAAAATTAAATTTCCCTGCTTAGTCCTGGCACTATTATTATTCACTAGACAATAACCACTTATTACGCATAGGCTTCCGTAATCAAATGCGTCCCGCGGATTCGTGTTGGAGCCGAAAAGTTTATTCGTCCAACATTCCATCCTCTGTTTGTTCCACTTCAGGATCGTCTAGCTAACTTGCAGAAATAATTTTGTCTACCACAGAAGCTCGCTCTTCATTACTTTCCTGCTTTGCCTGAAATTTTTGCGATTTCTCATCAACACAGGCAGAGTGACTGTCATTAGTTTCTCCTGGATTTTCTTCAGCTCCATGAGCAACCTGGGGAGATTCTTAAGAAATCTGTCAATTCAAGTTTTCATTCATTGGCTCAGGGCCAAATAAACAGGCGCAGATTTGATCACCTACCAAGATAGTCGACTCTTCAACATTCTCCTGCTTTGATGCATCAACTTTTAGCATCTCATCGACACCGCTTAAGATTGCATCATTAGTTTCTTTTAGACTTTCGTCCACTTTGTAATAAACCCGTGGAAAATTTGTAAGAAATCTGTCAGTCCTCATTTCCGTTCGAAGGCACGCAGACAATAGATACAGGTAGAGATTTGATGACCATGATGCCATTCAAACTTCCAAAAGCTATAACCCTAAGTGCACAACAATAAATATACACAATTATCCAATGCAAAGCATGTAAGTAGGGAGTCATCAGTCAAGTGCATCTCCATGCCATAAAAAGAAAAGGGAATAAAACTTCCATACCAGAATTGCACTGTTAGTTGGCTGTGATGGATATAAATGATATAACCTAAAATAATCAGAAAGACCGAGAAGACATAATCATACCACACATGTGTGAGCTGGTGACAGTACTTTGAAAGAATTAGGGCGATTGTTGAAATTAGTTTCAGGCATACCTGGAACTCCTTCAGGAGATGTAAAATGGTCCACATCATGAGCCACCTACCAGAATAATGAATTATAGCATTACCAGGTCCAGCAGAGAAATCAAACATAGATGAGAAAGAGAGGCTTTAGATGCTACTGCTTCATTAGTAACCGGTATCAGGGTAGGCACACTGTGGTTACCAACTTACAGGAGCACAGGCCACCCCTCGACCCAAGGAAACAATCAAAATTTTGATTTCAAGTCCCAAGAAAGTTCATGAAATTAGCTTTAATATTACAATTATATTGGAAGAAATCAAGCCATAATGCACTTCCCTTATACCAATAGGTTAAGGTAAGAATAAGAAGAATATCAGAAGTTCCTTACTCTTCCATGGCCACCAAATTCCCAAGCATCACTATCCAACGCAACTCGATACTTTCCTGGCAGGTCACACCCCACTTTGTACCTGCATGTTTCACACAATATTCACTAAAAAGAGTTTTAAGGTGCATGTTATTACTTTCTGACACATAGAGATAAGCAGACTAGTCCCCAGTAAATGGATCCTTGTAACAAACAGAAAAATAAATATATACATTTTCATGATATGAGGCATACATACCCATCATATGTATTTTCTTGATGAAAGTTGAAAACGAAAACATGATCACCCCTCTCGAAGACGATAACCTAAATCAAGAAATCATTATTGAAACCACCAAAACTGAAGTTATTGAAAAAGGTTATAAGGCAGAGAATTCAACAAGGGTGTAGTGCGGTTATCTCCATCCATCAGAGGTAAAAAGAATACAGAAAAAGATACACCAGCATGATGGCATAACAAGAAACCTTCCATTATATCATACGTGTTTGAAACTCATAAAAGGAAATAATAATCTTGTTTGCTGGTTAATTCAGTCTTTTGGTTTTCAGATAGCTAACGAGAAAAGAGTGATAAATAAACAATTTATTATTTCTAAAATTTAGAAGTTCAATCCTAGCTTATCAACAATATGCATGTATTTTGTATCATGAATCAAACGAAGTGCTGCGACGGTCTTAGTCTAACCACCAACTGCCATTGTAGATTTACCTTGTTTTCTTCATCAGTGCAGCTCACTATCTGCTTTGTCGATGAAAGGAATGGAAATTTATCACCAGGTGCATTGATAACTCTATCAAATGCATTCATGAACTGCAAAGCCAAATGCAAAGGGAAAAGTTTATGTAAAGATTGCATAGGAGGAGCAAACCACTCCTGAATGCCTGAATGGAGAAAGAAAAAAAAGTAAGACACAAAATGATTATTAGCGAAGAAAGTTCAGCTTATAAAATAGATTATACAGATGCCTTCAAGGTTAAAAAGGAAGGTCACTGAAAATGATCCATGTTCAACAAAATGCTTGACCTCTCAACTTGGACTTTCATCCGAATCTTAGAATTATGTTATGGTAACGAAAAGATAGTGAAAGATTTAACAGTCTCTTGGCCTATAGTCACTACCTTATTCCCTAAGACTAAAAAGTTCAAATCTCAGCAGTGCTCCAGTTTCCCCTCAGAAATAATGCACAGAAACCTTAAGAAACTCTTAACAAGGAAAATGACCATGGACCTTGTATCTTAGGTGATCGGTATCCACCAGATTCCATTGTCTTCTGCACTTCTCATAACTCCACCCATTGTCTTCTCTCGGAAAGTCAATCCATTCAGGATGTCCAAACTGTACAAACATGCAGAAGAAATATCTAGTAAACTTAATTTTTAAAAGAGAAAGCAAAACCTTATATTAAAAAATTGCCCTCTAGACAGGTATAGCCTATCATCTCTTTATTTTTTTAGTGTCCTTCCAACTTAAATATCATGGGCAGATCTCCATCAGTTCATCCTACTTTCCTAGACTTAGGCTTAGTTTGTTTTCACTGTGCAACCTCTTCAAACCTCTTATGTCTGCGCCGCGCAGACCACGCGCAGACATTAGGCTTCGCAGACCGTTTGTTTTTTAGAAGACAGAAGCTCTTTTAACGTCTGCACGAGTTCTACTTGGTACAGAGATGGTTTTATGTCTTCAAAGGTCTTTAAACCTCTTCAAGAACAATTATAAAATATGGTTATTTATTAAAATAATTTTAAATAATTTAATAAGGTTATTTATTTTAAAATAATTTATTTTAAAATAATTTATTATAAAATAATTTATTTTAAAATAATTTATTATAAAATATGAATTGATTTATTTTAAATAATTTATTAGTATGGATTGATTTATTTTAAAATATGGATTGATTTATTTTATATAATTTATTAGTATGGATTGATTTATTTTAAAATATGGATTGATTTATTTTAAATAATTTATTAGTATGGGTTGATTTATTTTAAAATATGGATTGATTTATTATTGTAGTTGTATGGATTAATTTATTTTAAATAATTTATTAGTATGGATTGATTTATTTTAAAATATGAATTGATTTATTTTAAAATATGGATTGATTTATTTTAAATAATTTATTATTATAGATTAATTTATTTTAAAATATAGATTGATTTATTTTAAATAATTTATTAGTATGGATTGATTTATTTAAAAATATGGATTGATTTATTTTAAATAATTTATTAGTATGAATTGATTTATTTTAAATATTTTATTAGTATGGATTGATTTATTTTAAAATATGGATTGATTTATTATTGTAGTTGTATGAATTGATTTATTTTAAATAATTTATTAGTATGTATTGATTTATTTTAAAATATGGATTGATTTATTTTAAATAATTTATTATCATAGTTGTATGGATTATTTAAATTTCAGTATTGTAAAACTAAAATTATTTAAATCTCAGTATTGCAAAACTCTTTTAAGTTTAAAAAATCAGTTTATTTATATTTCAGTTCATTTTAACAGTCTACAGACGTTAAAAAACAAACAGACTTCTTCTTGCAGACTGTAGACTTTTGGTCCACCTCTTCTGCTGCAGATGCCTGCAGATGTGGTCCGCAGACTGTGGATCTTTTACCTCTGCAAAAACAAACACCACCTTAATATCATATCCAACATCCACCCAAATAAAATATTGATGTAATGTTCAGTATGAAAAAGTTGAGTAAAAATGTTTACCTCATTTCCCATAAAATTAAGGCAGTCCTCTCCTCCTAATGACATAGTGATAAAATGTATCAACTGCAAAATAAATTTTAAATAAAGAAAAATGTTAGGGGGAGAAAGAAACAATGATAAAATGACTTGAGTAAAGAAAACGATCTACACAGACGCAAGATAAGATTCCTGAATAAATTGACCAAAGTTTCATCTTTGCAGATTTTCAGAACAAAACAGATTCATGGTTGTCGTAATTCATCAACAAGGCAAGGCATTATGGAGACAGAGAAAAACCTCTAAGATTTGAGCTAGCACCAACCTTGTGAAGTGCAATCCCTCACTCAATGGCAGGAGAAGCACCTGTTAAACATGACATGCCAAGTACATTTCTTTGTCCATCAGGAAAAATGCTATTGTCTTGTCACCTACAATAGACTGTTCCAAACAATAATAATATCAGAGAAGCACGACAAATGGAAAAATATATAAACATTAAAAGGAAAGGAAACATTAAGAAGTGAAAATATGGTGTCAGTGTAAGTAGTGTTTAAGTTAAACTTTTATTCCTAATTTATCTCTAAAACTACTACTTAATTTGTAGAAAAGATGACTCCTATTTCATCTAGATCTCTAATTCGTGTGTATAAAAAGCCTATGTACCCTCTTATGTAAGATGCAATTATTCTTTGAATATAAATAGTTTCAGAATGTTAACCAATCAGGTCAGAAAACTCTGTTTCTATCAGTTGCCGGTAGCCTTGCTGTCGCTGACGTTTGTCATCCCTCTGATCAATAGTGTGCTTCCAGTACACTGTCGTCCTCCCAATCGTGAATATCCGATCACACCGCTGTACCCATCACAACACCAAATCCCTTCTCTGAAGTCCGTCGTGAAGAAAGTCGTCGCTCTCTGATGCTTCTGCCATCCGTTGAAAGTTCTGCCTTGAATACCCATTCCTCCGGTGCACCGTATCAAGAAATGTCGTCCCTAGTGCGATCACTACCGGAAACCTGGTCATGTTCGTGATAAATGCTGGAAATTACATGGTCGTCCGACCAACTAGACTCCATCGAAATCCTCCTCGCATCCATCCCACGATAACTCTGTTGTAACAAAATTGGAAGGTGGTTCATTTTCTAGTCAACAATTGGACGATCTACGACAGATGTTTGGTCATTTACAAATTCATCTTCCTACTGAGCTCAAGTCTGTCTGCACTATTAGCGAAGGTAGTTCTCCTTTTGCCTCCTTATCCCCTTTACTCGGATGTGTCTCTTGGATTGTTGATTCCGGAGCAAGTGATCGTATGATAGTTAACTTCAGTTTATTTTCAACATTTCAAAAAAATGGTATCTCATGCAGTGTTCGTACTGCAGATGGCTCCCTATTACCGGTTAAGGGCAGTGGCTCAGTTCGCATTAATAGCCGCATTATTTTGTATAATGTTCTATTTGTTCCAAGTTTGATTTGCAATCTTCTTTCGATTAGCAAATTATCTACCGATTTGGGTTGTATTTCTCATTTTACTTATGAACATTATGAATTTTAGGATTTGACCTCGGGGATGGTGATTGGCAATGCTAGGCGTCTTGGTGGACTCTACATCTTTGATGCTCATCCTTATGTTCTCGTTCCAAACCACTCACCCACACCATTTATCTCTTTCTTTGTTTCAGTTTCTCCTACAGATACGGTTGCCGACATTGTGTTATGGCATTTTAGGTTAGGTCACCCAAGCTTTCCTTATCTTGCAAAATTATTTCCCAAATTATTTATTAATAAAAATCCCGCATCGTTTTCTTGTGACATTTGTTGTCTTGCAAAACGCATTCAGAGCTCTTATCCTCTTTCTCCCTCCCGCTCAGCTACCTTTTTCCTTAATTCATAGTGATATTTGGGGACCTTCACGGGTTACGGGTTTACATGAAATTCGTTGGTTTATTACTTTAATTGATGACCACTCTCGTACCACTTGGACCTTTCTTATGAAGGAAAAATCTAAGTCTTGCATCATCTTCAAACAATTCCACAAAATGGTTGAATCACAATTCCAAAGTTCCATTGGCATCCTGAAATATGATAATGTGGGGAAATACCTCTCTCAGTCGTTAGGATATTTCTTCCAGGAAAAGAATAGTTCATCTCACTTCTTGTGTCGACACTCCACAACAAAATTATTTCCCAAATTATTTATTAATAAAAATCCCGCATCGTTTTCTTGTGACATTTGTTCTCTTGCAAAACACATTCAGAGCTCTTATCCTCCTCTCTCCCGCTCAGCTAAACCTTTTTTCTTAATTCATAGTGACATTTGGGGACCTTCACGGGTTACAGGTTTACATGGAATTCGTTGGTTTATTACTTTTATTGATGACCACTCTCGTACCACTTGGACTTTTCTTATGAAGGACAAATCTGAGTCGTGTATCATCTTCAAACAATTCCACTAAATGGTTGAATCACAATTCCAAAGTTCCATTGGCATCCTGAAATCTGA